ACTCCATCTCAAAAAAAAAAAAAAATTTAAACACAAAGACACACACAGAGCATCCTCCTTACAAATCCATCCTCCTTACAAGATTGGAATCGGCTAGTGTTTTTATAACTGAAACCAAATAATATAACGATACAGTGTGTGATTTATTGGGAGCCAATGATTTATGATGTGAATTTTTATACTGCTAGTTTTAACTTCCCACGAAGTTGTCTGGCTCAAGAACACACACACACACACACACACACACACGCAGGCCAGGTTTGGTGGCTCACATTTGTAATCTCAGTACTTTGGGAGGCTGAGACAGAGGAGGCTGAGGCTAGGAGTTCCAGACCAGGCTGGCCAACATGATGAAACCCCATCTCTACCAAAAATACAAAAAAAAATTAGCCAGGGGTGGTGGCGCATGCCTGTAATCCCAGCCACTCAGGTGGCTGAGGCACAAGAATCGTTTGAACCTGGGAAGTGGAGGTTGCAGAGAGCTACTGCACTCCTGCGTGGGAGACAGAGCAAGACTCCGTCTCGAAAAGAAAACCACACACACAGGACGGGCACAGTGGCTCTCGCCTGTAATCCCATCACTTGGGAGGCTGAGGCAGGTGGATCACCTGAGGTCAGGAGTTCGAGACCAGCCTGGCCAACACGGTGAACTCGGTCTCTACTAAAAAAATACAAAAATTAGCCAGACGTGGTGGTGGGCACCTGTAATCCCAGCTACTCAGGAGGCTGAGGCAAAATTGCTTGAATCCAGAGGCAGAGGTTGCAATGAGCTGAGATCGTGCCATTGCACTCCAGCCTGGGTGACAGAAAACCATACACACACACACACACACACACACACACACACACAGAAAATAGGAGAACAAGAATTACAGAAAAGTGGAAAAAGCTTTTGTCAAACTTCTTCAGAATACAAGCTCCACACTGAATAAGTGAATCAATGTGTATATAATTTCAATAATATTCTTTCCTCTTATCCCTATTAAATAAACATTGCACAAAATAGGTAAAGAACATCAGCATCAATGCGTAACCTGCCTAGAGAACTTGCATATCTCTGCGTGGCCCCAGTGACAATCCTCCAGAGACATGTGTGCAGAGAAACACAAAGAATGATCAAGTGAGCAGAACACAGCAGGTACTCTCTCTTACCTCTGCATAATGTTCCACCTGAGCCAGCTCCACCTCTTCATCCCCTTCCCAGTCTCTCCAGTTATCAAAGTCCACAGACAGCCACACTGGCTGCAAGAAGAAGCGCCAAGAGTCACAGGCCCGGAGGGCAGGAGCAGGAGTGTGTGGGAGAGTGTGAGCATATGCATGGGAGCACACTTGGGGAAAAGAGGGTCAGTAGGTCCATAGTCTTCCCAACTGCACCCCTTTGACCAGCCCCCTTCAGGTTCCCATGTCATCATCATCATTCACAAAGATTTACCATGAACCTGCTAATCTACACACAAAGCTAGGCATGATAGGGTCTGAAAATCTCAGAAGTCCTACCCTCCAGCCAGGCATGGTGGCTCATGCCTATAATCTCAGCACTTTGGAAGGCCAAGGCAGGAGGATCACAAGGTCAGGAGTTCGATACCAGCCTGGCCAATATAGTGAAACCCCGTCTCTACTAAAAGTACAAAAATTAGCCGGGCGTAGTGATGGGCGTCTGTAGTCCCAGCTACTTGGGAGGCTGA